GCGCCATGCGGACTGCACCGTAGCCCCTGTTTCACCCGCACGCTGCTTGCACTACCGCTGCCCTGCCTTCGCACGGCTTGCTCTGCCCGTGCTCTGCCTGCACGGCCCGTGCTCTGCCATGCGTGCGCTGCCCGCGCCCTGCGCCGCCCTGCTCGCGCCCTGCGCCACCTGCACGCGCTCTGCCCGTGCTGCAGCTGCTACTAAGCTGCTGCTGCGCCCCGCCCTTAGCTGCAACCGCTGCAGCGCCTTCAGCCACAGCTGCGCATGCTACAGCTACAGCCACTGCAGCAGCTCCAGCCACAGCCATTGCTGCAGCCGCTACAGCCACAGCTGCTGCTGCGCTCGCCGCCACAATCGCTACCTCTGCAGCTACAGCCGTTGCTGCTGCCTGCTGCAGCCACTACAGACACCGCTGCCTGCTGCAGCCACTACACTCACCGCTGCCTAGCGCTGCCCTGCCCTGACTGGCCGCCGCCAACCCTGCCCTGCACGCTGCCCAACACTGCCCTGCCAAGCCGCAGCTGCTGCCTGCTGCTGCCGCCACTGCTGCCGGCCACTGCTGCTACTGCTGCCAGCCGCTGCCATTGCTGCCCTACCTGCATGCGCTGCCCAGCGCTGCCCTGCCCTGCCTGGCCGCCGCCAGCACTGCCCTGCACGCTGCCAAGTGCTGCCCTGCCCTGCCTGACCGCCGCCCGTGCTGCCCTGCACGCTGCCTGGCCGCCGCCGGCACTGTACTGTACACTGCCCAGCGCTGCCCTGCCAACCCGCAGCTGCTGCCTGCTGCTGCCGCCACTGCTGCCGGCCACTGCCGCTATTGCTGCCGGCCACTGCCACTGCTGCCCTGCCTGCACGCGCTGCCCAGTGCTGCCCTGCCCTGCCCGGCAGCCGCCGGCACTGCCCTGCACGCTGCCCAGCGCTGCCCTGCCCTACCTAGCTGCCGCCAGTACTGCCCTACACGCCGCCCAGCGCTGCCCTGCCCTGCCTGGCTGCCGCCAGCACTGCCCTGCACGCTGCCTAGCACTGCCCTGCCCTGCCTGGCCGCCTCCAGCGCTGCCCTGCACGCTGCTCAGCGCTGCCCTGCCGTGCCTGGCCGCCGGTGGCACTTCCCTGCACGCCCCCCAGCGCTGCTCTGCCCTGCCTGACCGCCGCCAGCGTTGCCCTGCAAGCTCCCCAGCGCTACCCTGCCCTACCTGCCTGTAGCTCGCGTCGCCTGCTGCCAGCGTGCCCTGCTGCTCCGCGCCCCGTGCGCCCTACTGCCCACGCGCCATGCGCACCCTGCTGCCCCCCGCCCGTGCGGGAGACTAGAGGAAAGGAGAAATAAGTTAGTAGAAAGAGGGAACAGGAGAATGCATGGAGCAGAAGATTCCAGCAGTGAACAATATAGAAGGGCATAATAGTGCAGTAAAACACATAAACATGTTTAATACTCAAAGACACAATGAATTTGCACATGTCAAAGGAAAAAATTGTTTCAACTGAGGATCTTCATTTTTTATTATGGCACGAGGTCGAGTATTGACAGTGGATTCGGCACGGAATTGAATCTTGATAAGGGACTCTATCCAAATTTGACATGCGTAATTTTTTGTGCCTCATGGCTGGTCAGCCGAGCACCAAGATGCACATGTAGTTCTAACATAATGTTATTGATAAAATATAGTACTTCTATCATTAAACATATTGTCAGAGCTCCAGTGGTGATCCCCGATTGATCCTTCGGAAGGGTTACAAGCTCGTTGTTCTGGGGGGGTTATGGGTGCACTGACCCGCTACTTAACAAGCCCTTTTATCCCAATGGTTTAGTGGTTGGGATTCTGACATGGTATCAGAGCGAAGGTCTCGGGTTCGCATCCCAGTGTATGCACTTCGGGCATCCCAGTGCGGGGGGGTGTCAGAGGTCCACTGGTGATCCTCGATTGATCCTAGGGAAGGGTTACAGGCTCGTTGTCGTGGGGGATTATGGGTGCACTGACCCGCTACTTAACAAGCCCTTTTATCCCAATGGTCTAGTGGTTGGGATTCTGACACATATGGCGAGGGGCGGGGGGGGGGGAGGGAGGTGGGGAGGGTCTTATTGCTGCGGGAATACATCATTTCCTCTCAGAATAAGAAAGAGTGTTGTCATTAGTATCACTTGGGGTACATGTAACACACCGTAATGTTTGTACCCCACATGACATGCCTCACTACTGTCTATCACATTGACACACCCCCATCGACTAAGTGAGGGGTGTCATGCAACAACAAAGGCATAAGGTCACAAGACCAGTCACAATGAAACAAAGCTCACGGTGGATCATAACGTCACCACACAGTCCGAGCACAAACAAGGGGCCACAAGGCCAGTCTCAGAGTTCATAAGTATATATATGTGTATATATATAAATATATACTACAAGCAAAGCAAGGTAAGGACTCAGAACTACAGTAGACGAGAACCTCTGTCAAGAGACCTAGCTGCACAGAAAACCTGTCATGGTCACAAGGCGGAAGGGCCTTGGTGAAAATGTTTGCAGTGTTGGCCTCGGAGGCCACGAAGTTTAAACGAGTCTGTCCGCGTCTCTGCAACTCTCGAAGGAGAAAGTACCTAACATCAATGTGCTTCACTCTGCTCTCCAGTCGAGGCTCTCGACGCAGGAGAATCATTGCCTTGTTGTCAGTAAAAAAGGTCGGTGCAGAGCTCGGCCGCTCACCAAGGCCAGTGAGCAAGAAGGTCAACCAGTGGAGCTCCTGTGCAGCCATTGCTCCGACATAAATCTCGGCCTCAGCGGTAGAGGTCGCGACTGACAAGGACTGAGTAGACCTCCATGACACAGCACCAGAGCCCATGCTAAAACGGTACCCCTGCGTGGACCTCTGAGTCTCGACGTCGTCAGCCTAAGAGGAGTCATAGTGACCGGTGAGTACGACTCGCTGTGTCCCTCCAAGCACAAGCTCCATGCCTGATGTTGTCGCTAGGTACTTCGCCACCCTCACAGCAGCTGTCCAGTGAGCAGGATGCTGTCTCCCAGTCGCAACAAAATGAGCAAGGATGCTGAGAGGGAAGGCGAGGTCCGGGCGAGTAGAAGTCATCAGGTACATCAGGCAGCCCACCAGCTCTGCGTAAGGACCACTGGGCTCAAACGGTTTGCCATGAAAGGGGACAGTGAGTCTGTGGTAAACAGCAAGAGGTGTGGGCTGTGCAGTGGAGAACTGAAGCTTGAACCGCTAAAAGAACTGCTGCACCATGTGTGACTGAGTCAGAGTGATGGTGCGAGCTGCTTTGTCCCTGGTGATCTGCAGGCCAAGGTAGTGGCGCAGCTCGCCAAGGTCAGTGCACGTGTGTCTCTTCTGCAGTTCAGACTCCACCTTAGCCAGAGCAACCCTGTCTGCAATGGCGAAGATCAGGTCAAGAGTCAAGTCAAGAGACAGAGGATGAGACAGATGAGAACGAGGAGGAAGACGGGCGAAGGCGAGACCTTGGGAGGAAACATGGGACCATAGATTGGGAGAGATGTTGAAGGGGGGAGCACGTGGTTAGTTAATTAGGGGTGAGAAGACCAAGAAGGCGAAGTGCAGAGACAAGCGGCGACGACGGTTGCTCTGGCGGCTGATGCTGCGGCAGCGTAGGCTGCGGCTGCTGCGGTGGCGGAGCCGTGATGGGGTAGTGATAGGGGCGCGATAGGGTGGGGCGCTATAGGGGCACAACGGAAGGTGCACGACTGCGCTGCCAAGGGGCGCGCTAGCGAGGGGGACCGTGAGGGTAGGTGGGGCGGAAGTGATAGACAACAAGTAGGGGTTTAAGTAGTAACCGATACCCACTACAGTACAACCCATGCTATCCTAACAATGTACACCTACAAATGTTATGTGTACGTTGACAATACAACTCGTCAAATTGCCGCGCACTTGATGATTTACCTCTTTTTTTTGTCATGCAACTTGCGGCCCATGACCGTTTTCAACCCTGCTATAACGTACTGTACCGTGCTAAACAAAAGAGGTACGTTAAAATGTGACCCGCCCTTAAAGCTGCGGCCTACATACCTGAAAGGACGGGTCTTGGTTTATCACTTGAAAACCAGGTGGACCAAGTACCTGTCTGGGAAGAAACCATTGAGGCAGAAAGAGGGAGGGGACTGGGGGTTTCCAAACCAGCCAAGGCCTTGTTCGATAGCAGGTGTTTGTTTTGCGACGGAACGGGAGGGGGAAAAGTTTAGTGGTTGCGAAATTTTGTTGCGCCTGGTTCTGGATGAAACTCACAAAACCAACCCCCCGCGTCCCCGTTCCGTTAGGCTATCGAACATGGTTTAGGAACCTTTTCTAGGACTTCCGCCCTTCGGCGCATTCATCCCCCAAACCTCCCCCCCCCCCCCCCCCAAACTGAGAACGACCTCTCCGCCACCTACCCCGACTATGTCGCCACCTAGGCTGTCACCTAGGTTTTTACCTACCGCGGATAATCGCAGCCCCAGCTTACTTGCATATTCCACCGTTCGACTGTCAAACCGTCGCCGATCAGGCTGGTTCTCGTCACTCGACATCGATTCGGCGCCAGGTAAGTTGGTCCTCCTCTTCGGTCTGCTTCCGCTGCTCACCTCGATCTCCTTTGCTAACCTTACGCCGACATGCAGGGCTCAGCTCGTAGCGACTCCAAGGTCAAACCCGCCCTATTTTCATACCCTACGCCTTAACCCGAAAAGCTTCGCCTTTCGTTCCTCACGCTCTCGCTCTCGCTCGCATTCTCTCAGTTCTTCTCGCGCGCTACCGCTCACCTGCTCTCGCTCTCGCTGTCACCTTGGAGCAGTTCAGGGTCGCCGGAAGCCCTACAATGTTCTCGCTCGCCGCCGACGGATAACCCCCCCGCCTCCGCCAGGGACTTGTCCGCATAAACACGCGTTGTTTTTCATTGCTCCGCCCCCTCTCGCTTCCCCGTCCTCACGTTTTTGCCCAACTCTTTGCTATCTCCGGCTATTTGTGTTCGCCCCCCCTTCACGCCTCTCCCAATTTTTCTGCCAAGCATGCCGACGCTCCCAACTAGGCTTGGCCGCGCGCCTCGCCTCCACGTCGCTCCTTCGCGAGTCCGGTCGGCGCCACTGGCGTGGAACGGAAAGCTTGCCGCCCGCCCCCGCGCTGCGCCCTTCCCGCTCTTTGTGCTACTGCGTTCTCGCCTCACCTTCGCCGTACTTCTATTTCTGGCAGCGGTGGCAACCCCAAGCTTGTCCGTGCAACCACTTTCGCTCACCTTCTCGGGTAAGTAGCACCGCACACCCTCCAGCCACGCTCAGTCGTTTCAAGCCACAGAATTATATGCTTTCCTTGACGTTCTGCAATGTCGCTCTCTGTATCGCCTCGCTGCCCTCCACCTCACCTCAACACCCATGCCTTTGCGCATGGCTTTCGGACTCGGAATGCCGATCAGGCTGCCAGCCCGCTCACGTGAATCGATGTGGCCAACGCATTTGCGCTCACCCCTCCTCTCTTGCCACTGCTGGCGTTCGGCCTTATGCTTCGGGAAGCCTGTCGGGCCCCCAGCCACCTCTCTTGGACCACCCTGGCTCCCTCTCCAGCACCCCTGTCGCGTTTGTTTCACCCTTCACGGTCTCAGCTCACACCACCCCTCCCCTCCCCTCTTCCCGGTGCTTCCAACCCGCCTCTCCTCCCAGTTTCGTGCCTTTCGTCGTTACGACGCCGTCCCCCCTTCTCCCTCTGGGTCAGGCTCGTTCCCCCCTGGTGACTCCCACAGCTCGCCTCATCCTTGATCTCCCACCTTTCAACATGCTGCTATACCGCCCCCCTGTTCCCCCGGATCAGCCTCCCCCCCTCATGCCTATCAAGCTCCACTCTGGACCCCCAGGTGCCCTTGAGACCCTGCTGCTCCACCTCCCACGCCCTCCGCATCCTCACTCCCGTTGTTCCATGCACCTACTCTCATTCTGTGCTCCAGGCAGATCGCCTTGCTTCCTCGGCTTCCAAGAAGTTTCCCCCTCGTTGGAGACCTATCCTCCTTTGCCTGCAACACTAGTAACCTCTGCTGCCCCTTGTCTGCATACCCCGCGATACTGCACAGCAGTGTTTTACATGCTGCCGTGTCAGATAGGTTTCACTCATGATTGTGCATTAACTAGTTACAACCTGTTTGTTCCTTGCAGCTCCCAACCTTGTAAAGAATCTAGTTTGAAACTTTGCTACCAGTATCTTGCCTCACACTTCTCCCAATACAAATTGTCAACACTGCCTAGTAGTGGTAATGCATTGTCACTTATTTATATCAAAAGCCGAAAACGGGGCCGAACCTTTAACAACCATAGGTACCACTCACTAGCACCCAAGATCTATTTGTATGCTACCTTGCCACACTCTGCACCCGCTTTGTTCCACCTGTCAGCCTTGTGGGTAGTTACAGTGACGCTCACTCAAAGCTAGTTTCGCACATACACTACTATAAGCACCCCCTCCATACGCTTACCGCTCTGGCAGTCCTCGGACTCCAAAACACTCCGCATCTTTCGCACGCTAACATGCAACCAAATGTCGCCACGATACCATGACCCTCACCATGCCCTGCACTCCACGGGCTTCGCCTCTTTTCCAAGCACTGGCCGTCACAACTTCCTTCCTAGGTCGTGGATACGCACGATCTCCTGTGCGGTGGCCTTCACGTCATCGCCATGTTAACACACCTCCGCACTGTTTGCGTTAACGTGAACGGAATCAACGGGACCCGCAAAATGGATGAGCTTAAGTCGTGGCTCTCGAGACTTCCTGCCCCCACTGACCTGGTCATACTCATAGACACCCGGCTCATCGACAGAATCCCCAACCTCGACCTAAAACTTCGACCTCACTCCTCCGCTCACGCTCCAGCACTTCTCTCTACCGAGAGCGCCACAGGGAAGCCCACGCTCATCGGCGGGGTCTCTATCCTCTCTTTCAACAGGGCTATCTCACTGTCCTCTCCAACCCCCTCCACAGACGGTAGACTAATCACTGTACACCTTAACTATCTGCGTGAGCAAATCCGCCTCATCGCCATTTACGCCCCCACACAATTCTACGGACGCAGAGTATGGTGGACCTCCACACTCGTCCCGGCACTGGAAGCCCCCACCGCCGCCTCCGCATCCATGCTAGCAGGAGACTTCAACTCGGTCGTCCTTCCCATCGACAGGAATCGCCCTCCCAAAGACTTCGAGGCTCGTGAGGGCGCCTCTTTCGTCAAACTCATGGAAAACCACGCCCTGGTCGACACCTTCCGCGAACTCTTCCCCACGCCGACCAACGTCTTCTCCTTCTACGGGAGGCAACGTCTCAACACTGCGACACCCCCTACCTCCTCCCGACTCGACAGAATATACATCTCCCGAGCTTTCACATCACGCCTCACTGCAAGTCCATACATCCAGACCCGCACGGCAATCACGGACCACCTCTACGCCCCTCTCTGCTCGCTTAGCTTCATCAACCCCACAGTTGCCCCCCGACCCTGGCGCCTCCGACAGCATCTACTTATGCGCCCTCATATCTCTCAAATTATCGACTCCTGCCTCGCAGTCTTCCCAAGCAACCCTTCCCCAGACTCCTGGGACTCATGGAAGCTCGACCTCACCCTTAACCTCAAATGTTTCTCCAACCAGGAAAGGCGCCGAGTTGATGGCACAGTCGCACATCTGGAACACACCATCGGCTCACTTCAACAACGCGCTGCGTATACGCCCCTAACCCAGGCCGAGTCTAACCGCCTTGACCAAGCAAGACTCCATCTATCCCGGTATGAAGCCTCAAAGGCCTCCGAAATTGCGCTCAAGGCCAAGCTTAAAGTGGAAGGGCACAGGGAAATGGGAGTCTCCTCCCTTCTCTCTGGCCTCAACTCGCGAATCAAGGGCTCGATCATCAGCTCCCTGACCTTACCTAATGGACAAACAACGTCGGATCTCCCCACCATGACGAACCACTGCTCCAATTTCTTCCAGACACTTTACAGCGGAAACACCCCCGCCACCGCAAACACGGCTTTTTGGCAACACATCCCTCCCTCCTCCATCCCGAATCCCCTACTCCTACGACTCGGTGCCCCCTTCTCCCTAGCTGAAATTGGAAAAGCACTACTCTCTCTGTCCCGAGGAAAAACCCCCGGCCCAGATGGTTTGCCCGGGGAACTCTTTTGGCAATTCGCCCCGCGATTTGCACCGGTCTTCCACTCCCTGCTCTCCCCTCCACAACCTCCCTCTCGCCTACCCCCGTCTATGCTGACCGGACGCACTGTCCTCATCCCCAAACGGGGTGACTCCTCGCTCGTAGAAAATCTTCGCCCCATCACCCTCATGAACGCTGATTACAAGGTTCTCGCGCTGTGTCTTGCTAACCGCCTCCAACTCGTTCTTCCCCAGCTCATCCACCCATCCCAAACTGCCTTCATCAAACACAGGAAAATTGGAGACACAATCAACGATACCCTAGATATCATGGACTGGGCAGCATTCTCGTCAAACCCTCTTCTCGCTCTTACGGTAGACTTTCGAAAGGCCTACGACCTGGTCAACCGCCCCTTCCTCCTCCAAGCCTTAGCGGTCCTAGGGATTCCAGATCCCTTCATTCATTGGGTACGACTAATGCACTCCGACACGTCCACACGAATCTCCGTCAACAACATGCTCGGCCCCACCTTCCCCGTCCGCACAGGCGTCCGACAGGGTTGTCCTCTAGCACCTCTCCTTTTCGTCCGTGTCATAGAGATCTTCCACCGATACATGTCCCTCTTCCTACCCGGCTTCGCTCTGTCTCCCGTCCAGCGCCGACTCATGGCATGTTACGCAGACGATGTCACTCTCTTCCTCACCTCAGACACAGAGCTCGGCCTCGCAGTGATACTCCTTGGCGTCTTCGGCTCCGTGTCTGGGGAGGTACCCAATTGGAACAAATGTTCCATTATTCCCTTCAATATCAACCCCACTGACCTCGCGCATGCCGGGCCTATCCCCGTCCGAGCCCCCGGCGAAGCAGAACGCATCCTTGGGATTTATGTTGAACGGTTACACCCTAGATCCACCACCTGGACTAAGGCCCTTGCCCACATACAAAACACCGCCAAATTCCTGGCGGCCTTACATGCCACTGTCACATGCCGCAAATCTCTCTCATCGATCTTTCTGAACTCCGTCATCTCCTATCCCAGCCGCTACCTGCACCACCGATCATCATCAAACGAATCAACATATCAGTCGGGAACTTCCTCTCTTCCTCAAAACATAAACAAGACGGCCTCGCACAACGCTTCCTCCCCAACGGCCTCCTTTACAACTCACCCCAAGACGGTGGGGTTGGTGCGATCGCCCCATCTACCCAAATCAAAGCCCTCGCTATCCAGCGTGCACTACGCAGATTTGGACCCACTCCATCCGAGGAAGTCACTCGGACCCTGACCCCATTCCCCTTCGGGCTACATGGTCTGCTCTCCCATAAGGCCATCCTTGAACAAGACTATCTTCCCTCCTTCATTCCCCCGCGGGCACTGGATGAACTTCAAGCCCTCCTCGCTCTCCCCCTAGTTATCCATGGCCCACCCCTACGCATGCAGTGCATCCTTACCGAACCTCTCGCCTTCAACCGGCTGCTCCTCAAACCCGACGAGAGACCTTTCGGCACCCGCCAACACGAGCGATTCCTGCTTACACGACAACTCCGCATCGGACACATTGTCCGCATCACCAACATCGACGTCAGCCCCATCTCCGCTCAGGAATTCTGCTCCCAACTCCCGGCAGAATTCCATGACGACGCCACACGTCTCCTCCCAGATCTCATCAAGGCTATCAAGCCTCCCTGGTGGGCCGGCCTCCGATCCCCTCACTCATCCTCTGCCTCCCCCGGAGATTGGTTCATGCTCTCGGATGATCACTAATCCATATCTCACCTCGTTATCCAGGTCGTCGCTTTCATCCCCCCCTCTACCGTCTCGGCTACTGTCCACCCCGTCTTGCCCAACCATCGCATCGGCCGTACCCCAATCAATACCGGACTCTTTCGTTTACAGGACCTCATTGAGGTGTACGTCAGGGAATGGTGGCTCGCAGGGCCACTTCATACAGGGACATGTCAGAACATTATAGCTTATACATCTGTGTAGGCTGTAGTGGGGTAGCCCATAAGGGGTACAACCCAATTAGGGTTAGCACTTGTACCCAACTCGTTCTAAACTTCACATGGTATCAGAGCTGGTTCCCTCGTGGGAACTGTTCCTAGGGCCCACCGATCTTTTTTTTTCCTGCCCGGAGCGCGCTTGGCCCCTGCCCGAGTCGCGCCTCGTGTCGTTTCCCCTCTTACGGCCCCTAACGGCCCCTCTTGCGGCCCCTAACGGCCCCGTCGCGCCGCCCTTGCGGCCCTGTCGCGCCGCCCCTGCGGCCCCGTCGCGCCGCCCTTTAAGCGGTCCCGTCGCCACCCTTCAGCGGCCCCGTTGCCGCCCTTCCGCAGCCCTGTCGCCGCCCTTTCAGCGGCCCTGTCGCCGCCCTTCCGCGGCCCCGTCGCCTGTCAAAACATTATAGCTTATACATTTGTGTAGGCTGTAGTGGGGTAGCCCATAAGGGGTACAACCCAATTAGGGTTAGTACTTGTACCCAACTGTTTCATAGTTCATCCATTCCATTCTCACTTCTCGTCATGGTATCGAGCAGGTTCCCGAGTGGGATACTGCCTAGGGCCCACCACGAATTTTTTTTTTTTCCTTCCCTGCCCGGAGCGCGCTTAGCTCCTAACCCGAGTAGCACCTCGAGCCGCCTTAGTGGCCCCTATTGGCCGCCCTTACTGCCCTTCGAGCCGCCCTCTACGGCCTCGCTTAGGCCGCTACGGCCCCGCTACGGCCCCGCTTAGGCCCCGTCGGCCCCGCTACGGCCCCGCTACGGCCCCGCTACGGCCCCGCTACGGCCCCGCTACGGCCCCGCTTAGGCCCCGTCGGCCCCACTTAGGCCCCGCTACGGCCCCACTACGGCCCCGTCGGCCCCGCTACGGCCCCGCTTAGGCCCCGCTACG